GCATTTGACTGGTTCTTTAGACATCACATTATAGCACGTAGAAATATGACAGATCTGTGGAATTTTTTTCCACAAGAAGCATTTAAGTTTGTCTTTGGAATATATCAAACAAAATGGAGGAAAGGAGATTCCAAGAATTAGCCATGAGTTGTGGAGTATAAAATGTCTCTCAAACCAGTTACTTAAAAACCTATTACACTATAGACCCAGCAATCCACTTTTGGGCATCTATCCAAAGAACATGAAATCATCAAAAAAAAATTATATGTTCTACAATGTTTATTGCAGTACTATTTAGAATAACTAGGACATGGAAACAACCTAAGTGCCTACTGATTGAGAATTGAATCAAGAAAATGTGGTGTATCTTCCCAAGGGAATATTAATATGAGCAGAAGGAAAGATGTTGCCATTTACAGCAAAATAGAAGGATTTCAGGGGGATTATGTATAGTAAAGCAAGTCAGAACAGCAAAGACAAATAACAGATGTTTACACAGCAGATGTTATGATAAAGCAAAGTACTTTAAAAAACTAGCAGATACTAGTAAGTGAAGTGGAACTCCTGGAGTTAAGAGAAAAAGGTGTAGGAAATATGAGAAAAAGATCTGTCACCTTAGAAGTATGATCTGGGTGAATTGAGAAGCTGGGTGGTTTGGTTCTCATAAAACCTACTCAACTGTCAGAACAGGAGATCAAACAATCAGTGGCCATAACTTCCAGCAGGGCACCAACCTGTTCATTTTGTCTACAAGAAGTAGCCAGAGGTATGCAACTACCCTGCTTCCTAGGCAGTGACGCATAGTTTAGAAGGATCATCATGGACCTAGCGGACATGAATGAAAAACTGGTGATAGGAAACATCAGGGGAAGAAGGAAATAAATAGAACTCCCCCAGTGGGCATAAAATGTCCCAGATGAATTTTCAGCAAAACCCAACCTCAGCAGAGATAATGGTCAAGATGAGACAAACTGTAGCTCTTTGTCAGTTCTAGTTCCCTTGCCTCTTGTCCTTGCCCAATGAACTCATGAACAGAGTAGTTGTGATGGCAGAAATGTAAGTACTCATGAGCTCAGTGACGTGAACTTCCACATACCAAAGGCAGTGTTGCAGCCTGAACTAGCACCTTCCTCAGAGGACTAAGCCAACTTTCCGATGACAAATTAATGACATTGGATCATTTCTATCATTGGTTTTGTTCTCACTCTATAGACTTCATATGCATTTTCTTTTCCCAACTGCAATGATTTTATTAAAATCAGTATCTTAGCCCTAGAAAATTGTTCTTTATGTCGTATTTCACCCCCTGGTGTTCTACAATACTTTGCTTCAGACCCAGGAACTTATTTTGGAGGAAATGAAGTATGGCAACAAACAGGCTCATGCTCCCGGAATTCACTGGCCTCACCGTGTTATCCATCATCCTGAATCAATGGGAGTGTTCTCTTGACAACTCTGTTACCTGCTAGATGAATGGAAGTAGTTTGCAGGGCCAGGATCACGTCCTCAATGATGCTGTAATTCTCTAAATCATTAACCAATATATGCTGCTGTTTTTCTTTGTCCAGAATGCACCAGTCCATGGCACCAGTAAGGGCATCCATGGGTAAAACTTCTCTCACTGTTATCCCTAGTGATCCATTTGCAAAACATGTTCTCTGTACCCTGCAACTGGGTTGCAACCTGTTGATCAGGTCCCCAAGAGGTATGTCTGACAGATACAGCAGTGCCCCACTGAACTAGAATCTTACTCTGCTGGCTGCTGTGTATTCCTTATAGTAAAGAACCAACAGACATTGAAGTTTCTGTAGTGAATGGGATGACTATGATTGTGGAAGGGAAATTACATTATCACTAGACCAAAGGAGTAAGAAAAGTGTGTATGAACAAAGGGCACCTCAGACTCTCCAGTCCCAAGTGAAGGGAACATCACCCAATGCAGACAGAGCTGCCAAAGATTCAGAGTCTTCAGAAGTGAGGATTTAGGCCATCCCAAAAGGCAAGCCCAAAGGAGGGGCTTGCTGAGGACAATGAGTCTATGGAATGGACTCATTCCATAGAAGGAATGTTATAAATATCAACTATGACCACACAGCAACTTGTAGAAATTAACATAGAGTCATAAATATTTCTTTGGTTATCTATTAATCAATTCATTTTTTCTCTTCCTTTGCCACCTAGCATAAAATATAGTAGCGGCTGTTACCCTTGGCGTTTATTTCCCAGGGCTACCATAACAAAGTTTCACAAAGTAGGTATTTTAAACCAACAGAAATTCATTCTCTTACAGTCTAGAGGCCAGGAGTTCAAAATCAAGGGTTAGTTCCTTTTGGAGACTCGCAGGGAGGATATGCGCCTGTCTCTCCCCAGCCTCTGGTGACACCCACTATGATCTTGGATGCATCATTTCAATTCCTGCCTCTGTTATCAGATGACATTCACTCCACTGCATGTGTCCAAATGCCCCTTTTTTTATAAGCATATTGGTAATTGGACTAGAGTCCACCCTAACCCAATATCTTTTAAAAATTTCATTTGCATCTGAAAAGGTCCTATTTCCAAATAAGATCACATATATAAAGATTTAAAATTTAAAAACCTGTCTTTTGGGCAAAAGCAATTCAATCCTTATCTTAGTATTTGAACTACAGGATATAAAAAGGAGACTTGATGTAAATTAGAAGAGAAATGCACACACACACACCCATGAATAAAGTCACACATGGATTGTGGGTTAGTATATTTTCAATTATAGAAATGATAACTGCATCTTACTAGACAGAGGCACCATTTTGTGAACATCTTTCCTTGTTCAAGTCTCATGCAGTTGAAAGAAGCCTACTAGACATCACAACATCAAGACATAAATTGTGGTGGTTTTGCCCACAACATGGGTAAATCAGGAATTACTTGCCCAGAATTTCCTGAAATTGAATGTTTGAATTTTTGAAGTATGTCGTGACTTTTTTAAAACAAAAGCCCACTCATAAGCAAGGCAGTGGCCATTATTTGATTGCTTTCACGTGGCTTGCCAGATTTATTAACTTCAGGGAGATCTGGAGTAATTTACACCAGGTAGTGGAGTAATTTAGTCCAGGCAAAGTAATTTTCTAGTATTTGACCTTGGTCAATTCTGAAATGTGATTCATGTACTAGTTCCTCACTTCTTTTTGTTTTACTTTCATCTCCCTTTTTCTCTGGTTCCTCTATTTTATTACTCTTCCAGAAGTTCATCTTTCCTCATTTACAGTTAACATGATTTTTGGGTTGTGTACACTTCTTCTTTCACATCTCAACTTGTATGTATTCTCCATATGTTGGCTTCTCTGCCCCACCCCAACCCTGTCTTGTCCAAACTGGCCCAAATGTGGCCACTCATAAACCTTTCACAAATGTGAACTCTATACACTAGCTAATATGTATGAAATGGAAATGGTAATTATCAAAATAAATGTAGGTAGACAATTTAAGAATGCCTACTGTATCTGTTTATTATTATCAGATGTGTTACAGATACATTGTCCTACATCATTGCATTCATTCAACCTAAAACACCTCTTGCTGGATTCTCAGAGTAATGCACACCTTGGGCAGCCAGAGATTGCTTTCTCAGGAGAGCAACGCCCAATTCCTTAGCAAATGACTTGATTAATTTATATTACATTCATGAAGTAGTTAACATTCCTCATGAAGTAGTGGAGGCTAAATGACTCAAAACAGATTAACACAAAAAACCTGAATCTCTCTCAGAATTTTTGGTATGCTGGTTGGCTGGATTCCTGACTGCCCCAGAATAGCCCCTCTCAGTATCACAAAGTTCAAAAAACATAAATCATAAAGGTCTCTGAAGGAGAGAAACTCTACTAGTTCCCCCTTCTTTTTGTTTTTTTTAAAAAAAAAGTGGAACCGATAAACCTTATATGCTATAGAAATCCCTGCCTTCTATCAGAAATTTAATATTTGGACCTTTTTTTTTTTTTAACAACAAGAAATGCTTAGTAAATCCTATGTATTTTCAATCACTAACTATAGATCAACCTGATTCCTTACATATGTTCTAGGAGCAAGAAAATTGTTAGACTGAAGAGTAGAAAACACTGTAAGATTTACTTTTCACCTAAAGAATACTTTGTAGTAAACTAAAATAATTCAAAGTAGCACTGTTAATTCCTCCTCTTCAATGTCTCTACTTTCCAAATAAAAGAAAAAGCTAAATACCTTCTAGTAGAAAATCTATTCAAAAATATATGTTAAAAGTAGTTCTGATAAATCTTATAAGCAGATATTCATAAAAATACTTTTATTCACTCCAGGCAAATTTCAGTTCACTATAAATCTTCCTTATTGTCAAGTTCCTCTAGACATCTATTTTTCATCAGATGCCTAATATATTTGGATTCTGTTCTTCCCTTACCTCTACAGTTAGCCAACAGTGCTGGGGAAGCCATACTTCTGAAGCTGAGTTCCATTGTCTGGTAAAGAGAAGGAAAGAGCAATTTGCCGTGGTACACAAGATGTGACTATGGCACGGATGATGCCTGGTAAGAAGAGGCAATGGAGGGGAGAGGGACACATCAGGACCCCTCTGTCTGGATTGTCACAGATATTTATCATATGGCCACTCATGAGGAAGACGACAGAATTTAAAGAATCTGGCTAAGACATGATCAGCAAGGCTCAAAGACTGCTATGGAAAAAAAAAACCCTATTCTCTTAGGGTGATTTTACTAAGGCTCCCCCACTTACATTTACAGGAAAGGACAATGGGTGTTGACATTAGAGGGGATGATGACGGGTAGATCCTACTGGAACTCTTGCGTCCCTGTTGGTTCTCTCTGCTTCATAATGAGCACAGAAAATATTTCCCCTTCCTCATCTTCCCCCCACACACACAAACACGTGTTTTTTCCAACTATGTTATATGTACTCATTACCCGAGGTAGGAGATGCTTGAACCTGAGCTGAGAAAAAGAGGAGGAAAAAAGACACATCCCAAAATGAGTTTCATTTATATAATGAAAATAAATTTTTACACAATCAACAGAAACACACCAAGATTTTTTTGCGAAAAATATTTTTAAATAAATTTTTGTCATTTTTTTTTACAGTCTGATATACATATGTAACAAGGTTTATGGCATTGTAACCAGAATCAAATCCCCCCTCCCAAAAAAAAATAAAATAAAATAAAGGAAAGGAAAAAGGTGGGAAGGAAAGTAATTGGTTTTGTTTAATTCCTTTCTCCCTCCAAGCTGGCCTTCTATTTGTCTATTATTAAGCTGCCAGCTCTAACTTGTTTGCACACTCAATACAGCATATTATTGCACAAGAAGCCAGTGAAGGCAGAAGGTAGGATGGTCAGTTCCGTGCTACTTCAAAAAATCTCTTAAACCCAGAGGGGAGGGGAGTCATTCAGAGAATGAACACACAAAATCAACAGTTCCCTTTGTCTCCTTAGAGTATGTGAAGGGTTCTTAGACCACTTAATCTGCCCTGATCTTCTCCTTGCCCCAGTGAACACACAGGCTGGCTGGCATTAGGTTTCTGTGTTCTATGTAGATGTTGAGGCAGCCCCCACCGCTTCAAGATCTGACATCATTCCTACTTACTTCTGGTTCTTTTGAAGGGAAGGGGTTTAAGGTGTAGTATCTTCGGTCTATGAACCTGCACAGACTATTCAATCATAAACTCTACAAATAGCTTAAAAGGAAAATGGGAAAGAAACAAGTTTTATTATATTTTTTATTGTTGGCTTAAAAAAAATTACTTCTTTAGCCTCCCTGCTTTATCAGTTCATGGGAAGTAGATCTCAATGGCATCAAAAGTTAAATTCTTCACACACATGTTAAAAATAAAGTTTTTGAACAAATTTGTTTCCATTCATAAACTTTGTCCATCTAAAATAAAAAAGAAAAGAAAAGAATCCATCCTCCTTCTTCCTTGTCTCCTAAGGAGAACGGTGATCCTTTCCATCCGAGGCATCAGACAACAGTCTCCACGCCCATGAGCTTTGGTGTAAGGATTCGTGGGGTTACCCCATTATTTAGGTCTTCCTCAAACTCCAGCAACTGCCCCATGAAGTTAAGGTTTGGGGAAATAATTGGTCGCTTGCCTTTGACAAATTTATAAGCATCAGTCATGGTCATTCTCGTGTGCTTCATTAAGTAGGCGATGACAATGGTGGCTGAGCGGGACACCCCAGCCTGACAGTGGATGAGAAGCCCCTTCCCACACTGGTGAGCTTCCTCTGGAAAAAAGGGAGAAAGGACAAGAGGTGAGGGAAGAAAAATTCGATGGAAGAAGAGAGACTAATTGTTGCCTAGACCTGGCAATGCCATATTGTAGAGGGAAAGAATGAGCTATCTAATTCACAAAGTAATTTGAAAACTAGCTAAAAAAAGTAAGTAGGAATAAGAAACTACTTTTCTACATTTACAGGGTGAAGGAATGATTCCTTCAGAGGGGACGTCAGCCACTGTAGTTATTTCAACATTGATTTACATGTCAAGCAAACTACTGATTCAATAGACCTTTCTAATTAAGGATGGGCCAGGTTGTATAGCTTTATCAAAGCTGGTGTTGTTAACATTGTGTCTCCCACCTGTGATGGTGGTGGCGTGGAGGGAATGTCTTTCTTTATACTGTACAATCACTCTGTACAGGAACTGGTATTACATGGATAAGAGTTTCAGTCTTACTAGACCCTGCCCTGAGGTTAAAGGGACAAAACTCAAATAGGAAGTTACTGGCTTCAACTTCTCATCAGAAACCTCTACTGTTGCAAAGTGAGCTAAAGCCTTGCAGTAGCTAGGACAACCCCCTCGGCTGTAGTGTTCTGTAGACAAGGATGCCAATGATGGAAAAATCCCAGCAATGGCTCAGATTCCAAAGCAACTGAAGGAGAAAAAATTGTATGCTTCCAGATTTATTAAAGACTCAGGAAACTAGTTTGTGAGCCATGTCTGAATGGTTTCTTCTTAATGACACTTCTAGATTAAAAGGCATCCCGAAGAAAGCAAACCTGAGGGAATACCTGTACACCAAAAGTAGGAATGTAGCAAGAATAAGGAGAGCAATAATTTAACTTAAACTACCTCTGAGAGCTACCCACCAGTGGACCAATGTGTAAAAGATTTTCATCTTAAAAATCTGTAGATTAAGCTTACTTCTTACAGCTAACAGCATTTTAAGAAACAGTGTGTATAATGCTGTACTAGTTAGCAACTGGCCGTCTCAATGCATAGGCACGGGCTTATTTTCATTCTTATAACACAACTAGATTGAAATCTTAGCATCTTGCTTTGGGGAAAATGCAGAGATATAAACTAAGCAGAGGCAGGTCTTCCAGTTTGATTATGCCAGTTCTCTTACTGCTGAGTCTCTGTACATTGTCTTCTCTTCAGCACACATTATTTATCAACCTCTTCACCAACACAGAGAAGTACAGTGCTTAAGAGGATGAGCTGCGCAGAGCTAGTTTTGGCTGTTGACTGCACTACACACAAGATGAGTGGTCTTGTGCGAGCCCCGTGACATCCCAGATCCTCCATCCCTCTATGTGAATGATGGGAGGAATACTCAGGAAAATGTTCAGGGGCTATTTGCACAAGTTCACAGTCAGAATAAACAGAGAAGGGTAAACACTATTCTGGAGAAGTATAGCAAGACCTCTGGCCTGGAAGTCAAGAGTCCTGTGTTTTGTTTCCTTCTCCAACATGAAAATCCCTCCGACCTTAGAGGAGTCACTTTACTCTTCTGAGTTCAATAGCCACTTTGAAAGGCCATTTCCTCCCAAATGGAATATTCCATGATTTTGCATTAAAGACACAATTATGAAGCAAAACGCACACACAGCTGGGCAGAGTGACTGGTGCTGCCAATTTCACAGCAAATCCACCACCAGTCCCAATGGCTACTAGATTCAAGGCTTTTTGTTTGTTTGTTTGTTTGTTTGTCCTGACAAAGGAACACCAAACATGAATATATTCTCTCTGGCACAGAGGCCAGTCACCACCTGTTGTAATATTGAGGAAAAGTACTGGGTCAACAGTCTTTGGTGATAAAGGTTGGAGTGACTTGAAAAAAACCTATAAGTATCTTCTAGGTGCCAGGTTTCCCAGGATCATTTGAATCTTACACTAGTTCAAGGTTATTGAGGCAGTAAAAGTGAAAGTTAGGATTGAGTTATGCTGCCTGTTGCTTCCTTTTGGAGACTAAAATTGGTTGCTGCTATGAGTTTCCTCTTTGGGAACAATTTGGGCTGCATACCTTGACCTTTCCTATTTGTGTGAGTGGAGAGCAAACTGACTAAGGGAACCTTAGTAGTAGTAGCTGTGTCACTCACACTCACCCTATTGCTACCAAAGCATCAGACTAGAGGGAAAAAAGGTAGAGGGAACAGTTAACCCTTCAACTCTTCTCTCTCCCGTCAATTGGTGTGCAATTCAAGAGTTCAAAACATCATTACATTTTACTGGAAGTTTCTCTAGAAGCACCTCTTTAGCAAATGCTACCTTTGCCTCGGGTTTATGTAGAGGGAGATACCAATTTCAAACTTATTTAAGTCTAAATAAGGAAAGGAAATCACCTCCTTTGCTAGAGGTATGGCTCATGGGGGCTAAGGGAGGTGTGGGGAAGTTTGGAGGTGGCATCAGATTCACTATCTTTGCTTCTTTCTAGTCAAGAAGAGCTAATAGACCAGATAACCCCATCTGCCTTCTGGCTTCTTACTCTCCATCAATTGTTCTGAGCTTCTGTTACAACACATGTGAACCTCTACCACTTGTCCTTGAGAAATAAAGGGATGAGGATTTCTCACTGAACAGATCCTAAGCAAGTAAAATCTCTGTTTTCTGCCTATCCCAAATGGAGTCCATGACCTTGACAAGGAAATTTGACCTGCACTCAGTGGCTGAGCCCGAAAACACCTCAGAGCAGTTCTTATGCAACACTGGAATAAACCTGGGTCTTGATATTAAAGCAAAAGCTGGATGGGAGAGGAAGGCAGGAGAAAAGGAGAGTCCCCAGGGAGATAGTTACCGATGAACTCAAAGGCCTCTTCAAAGTACTGCCGCAAGTTCTGCTTGTTGCTGTCAGTGGCGGGCAGCCGCTTGTAGCTGAACAGGCCTTTCTCATAGTGGTAGAGGGGCAGGTGAGTGGTGACGTTGATGATGTAGCTGATGTTCAATCGCTGCATGGTGTCCAGGTCCTGAGCATCCTGCTCATTGCCGAGGAACAGGAAGGGCAAAATGGGGGTGAGCTCTGCATTCTCGATGTCAGGTGTGGTGGGGATGGACTGAGGTAGCAGGCTTGAGGCTGCAGATGCGCCCCCCACCTCCCTGCACTCCTGCAGCTGTAGGGAGTTGTCACAGAGGTTTTCATGGTTCTGTTTAAAACTGCTAAGTCCACCTAGAATGAAAACATAGGAAGCAAGAATGACTATCCCTGGAAGTGGCAGCTAAAGCCATTTTCCTTTCCCCCAGCAACAAATGTGCAAGGTCACCCACATACATTTGATAAGTATTTAACTTAAAAACAAAAAGGCAAGTCCATTGGGAGGCTCAGGACAAGCTTGGGAAGGTAGAGTTCTCCGTGCCCTTGGGAAATATGCTCTTTACTCAAACTGGGTCAGGATCCCCAAGAAAGAGTGCCACACCCATTCTGACAATTTCTGAAGCAGCAAATTTCATCTGCCTCAAAGAGCCACATATGCTCAGTGACCTATATAGGTCCTTGCACTTGGAGAGTCAGGAGAGGCTTGCATGGCCTCCTTGGAGGGGGAACTTTGGTCGCATCTCAGCCTGCAGGTGTCTGTCTCATACCCCTATGGATTCACCTGCCCAGAATGAAGAGTGGGCTCCCAAGATAGCAGAGCAGGTCTGAGTAGGGGCCTGGCCAGGTCACCTGGGCTATCACCCCAACATCTGCTCCCTACTCTGTGACTGGGGCATGGTCATTTCTCTCTGTGTGTGGCTCAGTCTCCCCATCTGTAAAAGGAGGAAAAATAAAGGCATCTACCTTTTAGCAGATGAGCTTTTTATATGAATAGTATGTATATGAATGCCCACATGTAGAAGCAGCAGAGAAATGCTTGAAAAAGACAAAACTCCAGGGAAGGAAGCCATTCTTATGACCTCTTTTATAATATTCTCCACAGAGGTGCCTGATATTTACCATCCCTCATGGCCAGTAGAACAAATTCCAAGAGGATCCCAGCTCCCCAAACCCTCCTTTCTGAGACTTGTGTGGACATAAAACCAAGCAGACCCACAAATATACATGTTTTGGCTCAAGACTTTGCTGTGCCACCTAGAAATTATGGGTCTAGCATAAAAACCTTAAAAGGGTGCCAGTTTCCTGATTTTAAAATGCAAATTTCCCCCTCTCTCTGGGGGAGATATCTTAAGGAAATCATGAAACTAAGATGTCAGCTAGAGCTATATTCACTATAGCATTATCTATTTTATAGAAAAGACCAAGTAAAAAACGAACACTGATTTTTAAACAGGTTCAGTTATTATCCCATTTGACTGACTACAATGCCATTAAAAGTTCTGAAAACAAGCCCTCCCTGGTGGCACAGTGGGTTAAAGAGCATCACTGCAAGCCAGTCACAGCTGCTTCAGTGCGAGTTCATCCCCCCCCCTTCCACTCCCGCAAGGTGATCCACATGGCACAGCAGACCTCTCCTGTCTTGTCCACTGCTCACCTCAGCAGTATACTTCGATTTACCTACTCTGCTCCCCTCACCACCCTGCACCTCTGGCCTGTACCCCAGTTCTATATGTATAAATGAATAAATCTTTAAAGAATAAAAGTTTTAAAACAAAGAACATGATCTTTTTACTACTGAATGGAGAAAGCCATTTCCAAAGCATTTACCCCATACTTGATCAATCCAGTGCTAACGGGTCAAATAAAAAAGTCAGGAAATGCATGGATCCTAGTTTATTGCTTAAGTGCTTTTCTTTCACATTTTCTCACTGCATCACCCCTGAGTTGACATTACCACCAAAGGAGTCACAATCAAATGACGAGGTCCACGTTGGCCTCCCCTTGGAAAGAGAGAGTGGGACATTGGAAATCTCCCATAAGCTGAGAGCCCCCAGGACACGTGCTGACCACATAGACAGCAGTGTGGCATCCATCTTTACTGTTTCAGGAGGGAAGACAGGAAGCAGTGTGAACAGGATATGGCTGTGTTGAAATAAGGACAGGGTATCTAACTGTTTTGTCCACCAGTTTCTGAAACTACTTTATGTCCTTCTCCATTCCAGGTCTCTTCTATGGCTACCACAGTAGGAAATCTCCAGACTGTAACCAACATCCAGGGAAGATCACCACTGATGGGCACCAAGCTAGTGCCCTAAAAACCAGGCAAGCTAAATGTTCAGTAAGTCCCACGAGTGACCCAAAGAACATTCAAGGAGCCTTATTATTATCACTCCTTGCTAAGCAACAGAATGTATCTTTTGGCTTTTTAATAAAGAAAAACAAGGCTGCCCAATCCTTTCCAGGGGTTTCAAATCTTCAGTTCTGCTCTAAAATTGTGATGAATATAGTTGGGGCCCAAAGAGATAACTTTGAAAGGAGGCAAAAGAAATAGAAAACTAGCAAAAGCTTCTATAGTGCATACATTTTAAAAATATTTTTTAAATTGTCCACAGTTGTGCCAAACACCGCAGAAGAGACACACAAGAGTTATTTTAAAATCTGCTCAGCTTTGCCCCCATAAATTCCAAGTAAACAGTGCCACACTGATTCTATGATGGGAACCGAATTCACTTTTTTTTTTCCTTAAGAAAAAGGCAGTTGTCACACTTTTCCATATAAGACAAGAGGAGAGGAAAGAACAACAAAATAAACTCAAAAGAAGTGGGGGGTGGGTAGGGAAGGAACTTCTTTCTGTTCTTATTTAGGGTACTCTAGCTGTAATTTGTCTTAAAAGCAGCTAGTTAAAAACATGCATGCCAGAAAACCCCCCACACAGAAAAAAACAGCGTACAGCTTTTTAAAATTCTGTCTCTACACCTCCTTTCCAATGACATCAGCTGGAGTCTCCCCACCTGCCCAGTTGCCATAGCAGTTACACAAAGACATACAATGACATCAGTTGGCATGATATCAGCTCTTTGAGTGCAAACAATACAAGAAGAACGACTTTGTTTAAGGCCTTTGGTGGGACTGTGTTCTGGGGAGCCAATGATGTAATGCTGACAGGTGGCATGGGCCTTCCATTTGCCTAATGGGGGCAAAAACCCAATGGGGGAGGGAACTGGAGACACAGACACAGAATGCTCTGATCGCAGGGGGTGCTCACATGTAAAATTCAGTGTCTGTGGTGTGTGAGTGCCATGTGGGAACTGCTCTTGCAGAGTATCTGGAGACAGAGCAGGCAGAAAAGGACATAAAATTCAAACACATTAGCCAGACAAGAACATTCTCAGGGAGGAGGAGAGACAGGGTACCCCGCTCACTCGCCAGCCTATTGATCCATTCAGGCCTGGGTACAAAGCCTCTCTGGGTTGTCTGGGGCTTATACCAGAGGAACTCCCTTAAGAAGCCATGTCTGTAGTTGGAACTGGGAGCTGGGGTGGGGAGGAAAGAAAGAGCAGGAGTCACAGGATTTTCTCTTTCCCCCATTTTCCTGACTCTACCCATCATCTCCCACTAATGGCCAGAGGGCATAGTTCACCTCACAAGGAGCTTGGAATCTTGCACATCACAACCGAGAAACATTGCAGAATGATAATTAGCAAACAAATGAACCTGGGGAAGAGCAGCATGGTGGTTAGAGCTGATGGTGGCAGGCAGACCCATCTGTGAAGGTCATCACAGGAGCCATCAGGTCTGGTACAAACCACGTTCCCTTAGTGGAACCTCTGTTGACACATCTGGAAAGTGGGACTAATGGCGCCTACCCTGGAACAGTGCCACCAGAGACTACATGAGCATTCTGACATGTGTCTGCATATAAATAAGGTCTGATACCCCAGTATTATCCCCTCCAGGGTCCTTACCTCCAGCTGACGCATGCATACTACAGTCCAGGAGAACCCCAAGTGAGCACAGGGACCCCGACACCACACTGTTGGGTCTGGATGCCAGCACTGTGGACAGTAGCCCTGGGAACTGAGGGAAGAGTCTTCCCACCTCTTCCCTCAGTTTCCCCATCTACAACACAGCCATAATAATGGCAACTGCCTCAGATGCCTGCTTTGGATGATTAAGTACTGAAATACTATCACACACCTATTAAGCATTGTTTTTTCATTAATTTGGGAAACTGCCATTTTAATGAGCTCAAAAATCATCCATTTCATAGATTTTAATTGTGAAGCAACCTAATGTTTCAGAATTTTTACATGTAAAATTTAACTTAAAAAATGAAGCTATGAAGCTACCACAGCCACTGCAGCATGAACTTGATCCCTGCCCTGGAGGTGACCCACATGGTGCAGCAGACCTCTCCTGGCCCATCAGCTGCTCCCCTCAGCAAAGTACTTTGTCAATCTGCCTGTGCTGCTCCCCACTCTCTCTGGTGAATCCTCTCACCACCGCCCCCCCCCACATCTCTGGCCTATACCCCAGTTCTGTATGCATAAATAAATAAATCTTTAAAAAGAACAAGGAGCCAAGGTATCTGAATCATTTTAAATAATATACTTTTATCATGAAGAAAGCAACAGCTCCCTAGTCTTCTAAACCAATAAGTCTGGTTTCATTTTGTCTGTCCTGCTTTCCCAGTCAAGATAGCCTGTATGACAATTCCTCTGTTTTCCAGAGGAGAAGTGAGTGTTTTAAACAATACAGCTCTCCCCACTCCCATACTCTTCAGACCCCCACTCCAGGCTAGATGAATTCTTGGGGACACAAACTGATTCTAGATCTGGGTGCAAGTATTTTCCAGGCAGGAACAACTTTTTCCAACCTTGCCCCAAATGCTGCTTTTCTGTCCAAATGAGTCTGATCAGCATGATGGTGTTAAATGACATCAGCAAAAAACCCCAGTACCCAGTACCCAGTACCCAAATGAAACGAAAGCAGCTCATCAGTGCCTTCCAATAGGAAGTTAGTCAGGTCACGGACCCCATAGAGCAATGGATTCTAGTTTTAGTGGTAAACTTCTTTTTGTGGGTGCCTATGGCTCTTGCTGGAGTTTTAGTTATTGCTGTCCTAGAAATAGGAATGCCCTCTGTAATAGGCTTCAGAAGAGCACTCTGGATGGCAAATTAAAGAAACCACATCCAAATGTGGAGTCTACAACTGAGCGATTTCCATATTCTAAAGATGGACAGTACTTTGCATGCAAGCTTTTGGGTTTTGTTCTGGCCACATAAAGTTTAGGGATAACTCTCATCAAAGGACAGCAAATGAAAGTCACACCCACAGAAAGGGGGAGCAGATGA